AATGGAGTCTAATTATAACGCCCATCCCCGAGCACGCGTATAGGCAGCCTGAGGTTACGGGATTGCTAGTAACAAGTGTCCTGGGCTGGCTGGTTGCATCCTTCTTGCTGTCAAGACGAAGGCAACCAACTTTTGGTAAAAGCAAAAGTGTACTCCTGTCTCTTTTTGTGATTGTTTTAAATACCATTAAGCTGCATCATCTCTGTCTAGTGATGCTTTTCCCGGCGCTCTCCCACCCCAAAACTGACTGAGGGAAATGGCATCTCTGTTAGAAAACGATAAGTGAGCCCCTTGCCCCCGGCTGAGCCTGCTGGGTGGTGGCAACAGCCCGGGACACCTGGACTGCCTCCGGCCTGGATCGGTCTGAACAGCGAAATGGCGACACTTTGTTGGTCATCCCTCTTTGAGAGGCTCTTGGGGACCGAGTCGGAGGGACGCTGGGCACTGACCGTCACTTCATGGGGTATCAGCTCCATGGACCAAAGCTTTGGTGCAGGGACAGGCCAAAGCCCCATTTCCCGTGAGAGAAAATGTAGCCGTCAGTGGTTAATGCAACGACTGCTGCGAGACGCCAAACCAGAGCCGGCTTCTCCCATTTCGGACACCCGCTCCCACCCTTCGCCTCCCAGCCGTTCCCTAGCAAAAGCCACTAGCCTTTTTTAATGCCTTTTCTATTCCAATGGAGATATTTCCTCTCCCTTCCTTGCTCCCCCCACAACAGCTCTTCCTGAACGGCAAAAATTCTTTGTGCCTTGAAAAAACTGTTTAAAATAGACTAAGCCCCTAAATGCCACCCATTATCTCACAGCTCATTTTGCTGCCTTGCTGGCGTGGGGCTATTCAAACACCCCACCCCTGCTGTCCCTGCCCTCGGGGGATCTACTTGAAGGGAGTGCCCCCCAGCCAGAACCCGGCTTCCCCCGTTACGCTTTCCAGCCTCATCAGCAGAGTCGTGGGATCCCTTCGAACGCCTCCAAAACGGAGCTGCTCCGCTGGGCTGAGCCTGGCTGTGTGAAGCGGAGGTGGGATTTTGTTTCAGGGACTTCGTCTCATTTAGTGCACGAACTGTCTCAGGACTGTACCGAGAGGTCTGCTCCCTGCCGTGAGCCCAGACGCAAAGGGCTGGACTGCGAGGGCTTGTCCATGCTGTGTCAGGAGCACAGCCTGGGGAGGCCAGGACGGAGCCCATTCAATCCGGCTGACGTGCATCAGAGCCAGAGGGTCGCCCATGCAGCTGCTTTCAAGCCAGGGGTCTCCGGGTGCCGGGAATGCATCTGGGACCACCTCGGGGGAAACCTCTGGCTCTGGTACGTGTCCAGGGATCCGGGTGGCTGGGGTGTGTTCAGCTGCATCTTCTCTGGCACTCACTGCTGACACAGCATAGACAAGCCTCTGCACAAAATACCCGGAGTCCCTTTCTGCCCTTGTACCAAGCCCCCGAATGCTGCAGAACAGCAGGCCTGTTCCCACCGTGTGTCCCGGGACAGCCGGTATCTCCCTTGCAAGGATGCTTCTCACAGAGCTGACCTTGGAGGGGGACGGCACCCACGCCTGCACGGAGCTGCTCATCTGGCCCGGGAACACTTCAGTCCTCTCCCTTGGTCCCCGCTCCGAATTTCCTCGGCCTTGAGCATCATTTTAGCATCGCTTTAACAGATCGGGTTAGTATTCAGTGTCTAATCCCACCAGACTGTGAGCGCATCACAGTGATTCCTGCAGACAGAATAACTGCACCTTTGATGGACTCTCCGCGGGGAACAGTTATCTCAGCAGACGCTGGGCTCTCGCAGAAAGGGGGACAAGACACTTGTGATTTGCTCCTTCATTGTGCGCCGTGTGATAGGTTTTAAGGTGAGAAGGGACGATTAGGATCCTATGGCCTGAGCTCTAGCGTAACAGTAACTCCTGCTTGGGCAGGATCAAATCTTTTAGAGAGAGGGCAGCGGTCTGGGTTGAAAGAGGCCGGTGGAGGAGAATGGCTCCTATTCACAGTGCCATCTTTGAATGGTTAATGCCCCTCCCTGTTACCCTTTCACACCAGATTTCCATTGTGAATTTGTCTAGCTTCAAATCCAAGCCACTGGGTCTTGGCCTTTTGTTGCCACCTAAGACTGTGATACTGCATGTTTAGCCTTTAACAATAGCCCCTTGCCAAATGAACTCCTTGTGAAGCAGAATATCTGCCTGCTCTCCCCATGGGACTTCACCCTTTAAAGCCAGAAGTCCCATGGGGAAGTGGCTTCTTCACCGGGCTTTCAAAAGCAAAGGGGTTGTGCCGCTTGCAGCCAGTACTAGAGCACAGCCGTGTGCTTGCACCAGGTGCAGTGCAGTGCAGGTTTCCAAGTGCTGCGAGGCAGGGGTGCGTTTCAAGGTAACCCTAATTTCTTCAAAGCCTCAAAGTTTTGCCACACTTCAGCCGGCAGCACTCCACCCCTTCTCCTGAAAGAAAAGGCTGATTATGGAGATGGGAGCAGAGCATTTGAACGGCAGGGTTAAAAACACTTCAAAACTCTCCATCCGAACGCACAAGCCAGTGCCATTACCTGAGTCACATACGCAGGTAAGACCATTTCACCTCGACAGGGTTGCCAGTCATTTACTACTCCGCAAAAGGCATGACCTCAGGTTTCCCCACAGCCTGCTTCCTCTCAGGCATGTCCCTCTAACCCGGCTTAGCAAGTGATGAGTAACAGAAGAGAAAAGAAAAGAGAGATGGGTCCAGCTGGCCTCAGTTGGCGCTCAGGCACTCCATAATGTTCATTAGTCACCGATGTTAAATAGGTGGGAATGAAAAACAAAAAGAGGCGTCTCCAAGAGGATTAAAGATCTGGGTGGAAGAGCAGGGCAGCAGTCAGCCAGGATTCCCACGCTGTTTGCAATAGGACCCTGGACACTGGATCGGTATCGGCCGATACGACTCGTTAAAAATCGGCCATCAGTATTGGCCCAAAAAACCTCTATCGGTGCGCCCCTATGAATTATCTGCACTGTTAGGATGTCATTGGCCCGCTGTCTCTATCATGAACCCTGAACAGCAGGGACAGCTTTGAAAAATGAAAGCAAACTCTGGCAAAATGAAGATGGTTCGCATATCGCTGGTCCCAGGGATACAAGAAGGGAATGACTTGGCCTCCCTGGAAGGGGCTGAAATGCTGCTGTTGGTTCTGCACCTGTTCTGTTTGGCAGCAAGGGGCTCCGGTCTCCGTTGCTATCAGTACAACAGCTTCCCCTGGATCTAAAGGGCTGATCTTGCTCCTAGAGAAGCCAGTGGCAAAAGTTCACGGGATCAGACCACAAGTTCAAACCCGTGCAAGAAACAAAGCAGGCCCCAGTACCTCTGAGCAGCCGAACTGCCCTGAATAACAGAAACCCTTGCAATATGTCACTTAATGAACTCTCAGGTAAAGATTTTTCAGCTCAGGGGCCTTATCTTATACTTCCAGGTAAGTGGCCTGAAAGTTTTTTAAAGCATCTAGAACTCATCAGGGATGCTCGTCACTTTTGAAATATTTTGGACTAATTTGGGTTCTGAAATGGGAATGCTGAGGTCAAAATCTGTTTGGTAAACCTAGTGTTACCCTCCCAACACGGCTGTGGAAAGGAGTATGCTTGTTCTTGTGCTGGGGAATGGAAATAAACTGAATATGAGCCAACAGTGTGGCCTTGTTACAAAGAGGGTAGTGGAGGGCAACAAAAATGGTTGTGGGGCTGATTTAGTGTGGAGAAGAGAAAACCAAGGGGGATTGAATAGCAGCCTTCACCTCCCCGCAGGGGGGCTGCAAAGAGGACGGAGCTGGGCTGTCCTCAGCGGTGGCAGATGGCAGGACAAGGAGCAATGGGCTCAAGCTGCAGCAAGGCAAGTTAAGGCTGGATAGTAGGAAAAACTCTGTCACTAGGAGGGTGGTGAGGCACTGGAACAGGTCACCTAGAGAAGCAGTGGGATCTCCATCCTTGGAGGTGTTTAAGACCCAAGTAGACAAAGCCTTGTCTGGGATGCTGTAGTTGGGGCTGGGGTTGGACTAGATGTGACCCCCTGACGTCCCTTCAACCCTCCTTGTCTGATTCCATGAGTATATTCTAAGTCCCCAGGAGGGACATCAGTCTGCCTGGTCTGGGGTGATTTCCCAGGCTGCCCTGCTCACTGAGCTGATAGCTTGATTCCTGAGTGGCAAAAACCGACTTTTCTGACAGAGGCAGGCAGAGCATTTGCACACAAGCACAGCGGGGGATGCTCCTCGCATTTGTGAGCAGCTGGTCCGGGACTGAAACAAGAGTCTGAGGAGCCACCTGGGTTTAACAGAGGGCTAGAAGACCGGAGGATTATAGTTAAAAATCGGGGGTTTGCGATTCCGGGGTCAGGGATGGTTCCTGTGATGGAAGACCCAGCCCAGTGACTGATGGTCCTTACAAGGCAAGCAGTTATTTCATGGAGCCGCTGTAAGAGTCTCAAGGATGCACTAAGCTCTCTTGTGAGTGCTACCTACTGCTGGGACAGGTGCTCTGCAGACAGCATCCATACTAAGGGGTTTAGCTGAGAGTATGTGGGTGAATTTGCCTACTAAGAGACATTACTTGCATTCATAATGCTGCACAGTGCCATGTGCCTAGGATTGACTTGATCTTTTGCTGGGAAGTTTAGAAGAGAAGAGTTAGGCGAGGCCCCTGCACAGAGAGTCATTGGTACGGCTTTTACATGGGACCTAGGGCTCCGGCCTGGAGAAGACGGTCTGGATGAAGCCCACCCCGTGCTGCCACTGGCAATCACCTCGTTATCTCCTGGCTCACCAGCCTTTCATTAGGGACGCTGGCAAAACTGGTTAGCATTTATTTATCACCTGAAGTTTGCACAGTTGTTCCCCCATGTCCAGCACCGGGAGAAAAGGCAACTCTGGTTTCTGGGCTGAACCCATCTTTGTTCTCTCTGCTGTTGCCCAAACACAGGTATTGGCACTGATGTTAATGGGGTTTTCCTCCCCGCCTCTGTGCTTTCTCCCCTTCAGGCTTTGTCTGCGAGCGCGACCGCCTGACGTTCGGTTTCTGCCAGACCCTGCGGGTTCTGGGAAGGTGCCACCTCCCGACGGTCAACGTGCAGTGTTGCCGAACCTGCCGCCAGCACGGGCACGGCACCCGCGACCGGGGCAACGAACGTGCCTCTAGGAGGTGAAACCGTTTTGGTGGAAAGGTACTTTTTTTTCGAGGGGGAGCGGAAAACAAAGGAGGAGGAGGAGAGGCTTCAGGAGAACAAAAGCTATGCAGCAAAGGAAAGGAAGTCTTTGACCACGACATCGCTGTTCCTCTAGCAGTGCGGTGTTGCAGCCGTGTTCCTCTGTGCAGATCCATATGGTGCTCTTTAAAAACACAGGGACGTTTCGATTTGTTTTAATTTTTCTTTTTGTTTTGTGGAGGGGGGTTACTACAGTACATGGTGCTCAGCTCATCTGTCTGAAAACAGGATCTGGCGCTCACTGCGTAGCACTTGGGTTCCTGCTGGTTACCATGGAGAAACGCACCGTTTCCGAGCAAGTAGCAGACAACAGCTCCAATTTCCCATCCTTCGGGTCACACCTAGAAGTAGCTGATCTAGCAGGGAACACATCAGAAACCTAACATATAACAGCAG